TGGTTAGCTGTGAATAGGTTGCTTTCAGTTTTCCTTAAGGATCTCCTTGAAACTTTCGAAGTATCTCTGCTTTTGGAAGGTGTTGTGAATCAAGACATTGTCAGAGTGATGCTGTGGTGTGGGCATTATATCAAACTTTATGGTTAGCACAAAATTGACATGTAAATGTTTAGAAATGGTGAGTAAGTAATATCACAAATTCAGTGATATCAAATAGATGTACTTTTGACAAAAGGAGCACTCAGTGATTAATAAAGCATTTACACTTATTTTTCAGTGAATAGTGCTGATGAAAATATAGGGCATTAATGTTTCCAACTTTTTGTCTGTCTCTAAAGACACTGTAGTGTGTCCTATATTTCTCAACCATCAAAGAGGGTTTTTTTTTTTTAGCATTTTTAAAACATTGTCTTTTTATTCGGTTCAGCTTCACACTTAAAAAGTACATAATTCCTAAGATGAGATTTTCTAGATGTTATTTAATTTCAGTATAGTGACTCAACTCATAAAACAGCTTATTTCTCTTGAAATAAGTGAAGAAATACATATCTACTGTGGAAATTTAGCCATTCTCCATGTTAATGCACTAAAAAGTGTTCTTTCTTTCTTTCTTTCTTTCTTTCTTTCTTTCTTTCTTTCTTTCCTTTGTTGTTCACCTATTAAGACAAGCATAGCTAGAGAAAATGAAAATATATCAAACAGTTGTGCCAATTCATAATCAATAAAAAGCTAAACACTTAAGCAGAAAATTTATCCTAGATTTGTGCCCTACTAAGCATGTATTTTTACCTTGCCCTCATCAGAAGCCACATTCTGACAGAAATCATTTGCTTGAAGCAGCTGTGATATATAAACCCTATGAGGTCTTGCGATTCAGATTTAGGAATATCAGCCTCAGAGGGTCTAAAGGCATTGTGCATTAGTACGTATTGAGACCTCATTCCAGGTGGCAAGCAGCTGGACTTTCAAAGGATAAAACTCCCAAGATAAATATGAAGCGCGTGTTCCTAGGTGATAAATGTTATTTTTAATAGAATCATACTCAAAATGCTATAAATTAGGCCGGAAAAGGGAGTTGTGCATATTTAATATATTTGTTTTGTATTCCCACCAGTCAACAGAATAATGAAATTCCTTAACTACTTCTCTTTAACTTGCATGAAGAAAGCACGGTATGTTGCTAAATCTCTTTTCACCAGCTCTGCGGAGAAACAACTTTAATCCTTGTTAGAAAATTGCCGAGTCTGGGACTGACAAAGAGCTCATGCTTGTTCTATTGTGAGTGCTCCCCGGCCCCTAGAGCAGAGCCCTTTACAGCTGCGTGGAGCCCGCCCGGCTCAGCTGCACTATTTAGGAGAGGAGGTTTGTCAATTTCTATTGACAATGGAGAGAGTTTTTCAGGGCCTGTAGCAGTGCTGACACAGTTGGGGATCAATGCCAGCCATTCAGACTGCACCCTCTTTCATTGCTTTGGTTTGTTAATTCAAGACTAAAGGTCCACTGAGGGGGTTCAGGGTGTTTAAGAAAGCTGATGAACTGTTTAAGAAAGCTGATGAACTGCAAGCGTTTATAGCCCTGGTGTGGCAATTTCCATAGTCAGTGGCAGCTCCTGGCACTGAGGGAGCTGTGTCCCTGTTGACCCTCTTGTTATTAAAAATGCACAAGTGCTGCGCTTCTCAATATTTCAACACTCTTTCATTGTCAATACCACCTTCTGAGCCCTTCAGCTTGTTGCTTGCTCTAAAGATCTTCTTAGATTGGGTTTGAAAACTTCACCTTAAACACTAGATTAGACTGATGTTCTGTTTTCCGTGCTCCTGTTGATTTGTTGAACCTTCCCAGGGCTGGAAAGCAAGTAGCAGCTTGATGGGGAGACGGGCTGCTAATATGATTTACCAGTCTACAGTCATGCACAATAAGTGTGAATAAATACAAGGGTCTCTCAGAGTCAACCCTAGCCTTTCCTTTTCTTTTATTTTTCCTTTAAAAGAGATATCTCAAGAAAATGAAGTGAGTAATGCATGCCCTTACAGGAGTTGAATGAACCACAAAAAGGAAAAAAAAAAGCCATATTTTTTGTTAAAGTGGTAGGCTGCTGTCATGGATTGATGTAGAAAAAATTGTAAAATATACAGTTACTGCTTTATTCCTGTGTAGGCCAAAGCAAAGAATAAAATGGTACTACCATGCCCCAGGCTTCAGGGCAGACTGACACGACCCTTCCTTGTCATCCCTTGAAGGGAGAAGCGAGTAGTCACCCAAGTTATTCCATAAAATTAACTTTTCCAAAATACAGAAGCATTTCCTAACATTCACCTTTTACTGTACATTCACCTTTCTTCAAGTTTTGTTGTTGTTTATTTGTTGGATTTTGGGGGTTAGCTTGGTTAGACAAGACACATGAAGTTAATCCAAATTTTGACTCCTTTCTCAAGTTGAAAATATGGGACCAGTGTACTTTAAACTCATAACAAAGGAGATATTAATTCCATCTCTGGAACCAGAAAGGTGCTAGAGGTTTGTGGGGGGGGGTTGTTTGTCGGGGGTAGGGAATGTTCCCATTGTGAGGAAGTAGCAGTGTAGCAGGGCTGGATGTTGTTTGTCTGCTCTCAGTTACAACACAGGCCAAGTTCTGTGCTCAGCCACTGCCCTCTCTTAATCGTCAGTGGGCCACTGAGCTGCGGCGCTTCTGCAAAATGCCTTGACTTGGGAACCAGAAGTGTCCGTGCATTCTCCTCGGATACAATGGTTTTTCTTAGAGCCTTTTCTTTGTAGAATAATTTGCCTTCTATGGCAAGGTAGCCATAAAAATTTTATATAACAAGAGCTTTTTCCTCGTTTTATATTTACCCTTAGAAAAATGTTTTCCCTAATTCCTTTTCTCTCAAATTATAATATTGGCACTGTATAGAAGTTATATTAATAATTCCTGTGTTACATTAGATATCTTTTCAGTTATCATTCATAAGTATCATTTATATGTAATGGGAAGTGAAGGGAAATTAATTTTATTATGTAAGAATTTTTTAAAGACAGAAACGTGAAGCAATCTTAAAGTATTTTCATTTCCCTCAAATTATACAACTTTGCCATGTATATAATAAGTGCATAGTCAACAGACTAGTATGTTTTGCTAGACTTCATATAACATGTAATGTTTCTTGTTCTTCTACATAAAAAAATTACTATCCTTTATAAAGTGCTGTATTTTCAAAAATCACATCCCTTTTCACATTTTAATTTCTGGAGTATCTGAAAAGTAGCAATGGTATGACAGTCTTAATTCAGTATGTTCAATTCAGTATTGCCAATCAATGCCTGTGCTTACCTGTAGTAAAATTGAGCTCAAAAGTTTGAGCCTATAGATAATTTGAAATAAGTATGGAATTTAATATCAGAAATTAAAATTTATATATAGAAGACTTTGGGAAATAACACTTCAGCTGATACTGAACTAACTAGGGTTTATTTTTAAGAACTTAGGAGTGTAATTACTTCATTTCATAAACCTTATTTGTGATATTTTGGTAGCTCCTGAAAAATTAAGAAGTACTCACTAAGAAGAAGCAAAACTAGGTGCATGAATAACAGATGTTTAAAAATCACAGGCTAATTCACAGTTTAAAATTTTGACATTCTCAGTCATCCATTTGATAAAACTCAGAGCTCAGTTATTTTAATTTGCCTATCTCATTTTAAGCACAGAAGTTCAGTATTCCAGCAGATTAATAGAAATGAAGGGTGAGATGTGAAATGCATGTTTAAGTTTTACTTAAAATACAATTGTTTATACTAAATTGTATTGGAGTAATGTTAGTAAAGACAAATGCAAATAAATTTCACACTTGCACCACTTAAGATTCCTCTTAGAAATTAAATCTATTGTTTTGCTGTATGTATAAAAACATTTAAGATATTTTTCTTTTTAAATCCATAAAAATATGAGTGTTGACACTGTTGTTGTGTTTGCAGCTCTAAACAAGACACAGAATCTCTTTCAAAAACTCTGTCCTTTCCTATGTGATGAGCAAGTGCTGGAATTTCTCTGTTATCTGTGTAGTACCATTATTCACATACTGTTACACAAACCTCCCCTGTCACATAATCACCAAATCCCTGAAAATGCCACAATTAATGCTAACTTGATTTTCTTTAAAAAATAGGAAACATTTCTTCTGGTTTTCCTTCACTTATACATTATATAAGAGCAAGAAATTACATTAGAGAACAATTTCAATATAGTCCTCAGAGTTGTAACAAAGAGCAAAAATATAAATCATCCAAAAGCACAAATTGAAACTGATCTTTACCTTTCATAATGTAGCCAACTGATATTTTTTCAAGATTATTATACATAAATTCCATCTTGATACTGTTTTTCTCTGTGATCTCTAAATCTTGATTTTAGATGATTTTAAAATATCTTGCAAACTCTTCACAATGAATAGTAGTAGATAAAGGTATAACTAAGTATTACTGTTCAACAAGTGGTGAATTTTTTTCTTTTTCTTTCTTGCTTTTTTTCCCTCAAAATATTATTTCTAGATACTGACTATATGGCTTGTGTCATAACACACCCCTATTTGATTTTTTCTGTAACAGGCCAGTAGGACATTTTGCTTTCAAAATAATATACCTGTTTTTTTTTTCTTGTGCTCAGCCATCTATATGGTCTTATAATGTGTGTTTAGTACTCATTGTTACCCAAAAATTACAAAGCAGTCTACTGGGCTGCAAAGCACAAAACACTTCCCCATGAATATGTTGCAGCTGAAAGGCTGGGATGTTAATTCAAATAAGACAGCCCAGGTCAACTTAGCAGATTTTCTCGCAAAGACATGCAATTCTGTTAACAGGAAATTATAGCATTATTGACTTTAAGTGCTTATCTGTGGTCATTTCAGAATGTTTCGTTACCCCCTCATTACCGAATCTGTTAAATGAATACTGCAGAGGATTTTTTTATTTTTTGTTCTCTCTGCCCCCATGCTTCTTTCCAGCAATGGTACAGCAATTCCATGAAAGTCATTTGCGTGTGGTTGGCTGATAGATTAGACCTCCAGCTTCATATTTACCAACTGAAGACTCTCATCAAGATTGTGAAGGTAAACAAAACATTTTTGGATGTTAACTGCCCATTAAGCTATAAGGAATAATGGCGAGATACTCTTCCACAAAATGTGAATGTGAACACTAAAACAACATAACTTAATACTTTGATAAGTAATCTTTACAGTCCTAAATATAAATGTATTTTCACTAATAAAAGAGTATTTACTAGCAAGCAATCACATTTTAAGATAATGTGTATTAATCTCCTACCACATTTACCTAAATATAGTGGGTCCACAATAACTGAGCATTAATTTTCTTAAGAAAAAAGTATTTTCTCATATTATAGTTACTTTGCATTTATTAGGATCTTGTATCATTCTGAGGGTTTTTGAACTGTACTTGCCAGTAGAGTAAGGAGAATCTCTTGTTTATTGTGTCCTGATATGAATGTAACATGTTGTCATGACCCATCTCATATGTAAAAGATGACCAGTTTGAATATGAATATTTTGAATATTCAGTTTGAATATTTTGCTTTTAGAATTATATATATGACATATGCAGGGGTTCTCAAAGTGTCATTCCTGTCCTAACACTATTAGCACCATTTAGAACATGTAAGAACTCCAAGTTCTTGGGTTCTAACCCAGACCTGTGGAGTCAGGGGCCAAGGGTCAGACTCAATGGTGACTATTTTAATAGGGCCCTCAAAAGATTCTAACACATACCAAAAAAATCTATTACATTATTTTTTTCTTTTTTCTTTTTTTTTTTTTGGCAGAACCGGGGATTGAAGTCAGGCCCTTGCACTTGCCAAGGAAGCACTTATTCCACTAAGCCATCTCCCCAGCCCCCATCTATTACATTATTAAAAGATTTTTTTTTCTGGGGAGATAGCTCAGTAGAATAAGTGCTTGCCTGGCAAGCACAAGGCCCTGAGTTCATCCCCAGTACCACCAAAAAAAAATTTTTTTTTTT